CAAGGAATCCTTTAAGGGTTGCCACAAGGGGTGAAAATTTGGGACTGTCTGTGAAGCCACCTCTCCTACCAGTTTAGTAGGGAATCTACCTAATTTTTCTCTACTTTGGCCCTGTATAACAACAAATCCCTTAGTGTCCCAAGCCCCACCTTTAGGGGTGGTTTGTTATTTGTGGGGGGGGGGGGTTAAGTTTTCTTTGTCAGGGTCCTATTACCTATCTTTTCTTTCTTCTCCCACATCCTGTCTCAGAGCCCTCCTTCTTTTCATCTTTTTGTTTTGAGATTTTAAAAAAATTTACGAGTCTCTCTCTCTCTCTCTCTCTCTCTCTCTCTCTCTCTCTCTCTCTCTCTCTCTGTGTGTGTGTGTGTGTGTGTGTGTGTGTGTAACTGGAGTTACAGGAGGCTGTAAGCAGCCCAGTATGGATGCTGGGAACCAAATTCCTGTCATCTGGAATCACAGGACGTGTTCTTAACTGCTGAGCCATCCTTGCACTCCCGAAAAGTCCTCTTTCTTTTTATCCACTGTTTACTTAGGGACCTGACTGAGGACTGTTGCTGCAATGCTTGCCTTAGCATGCATGAAGTCCTAGGTTTGATCCCCAACTTCACATAAAACCAGAAGACAGACATAATCCTAGCTTTCAGAAGGTGTAGGCAGGGGGATCAAGAAGTTGAAGATTTTTCTCAGCTACTTAGTAAGTTTGAGGCCAAACTTACTAAAGGAGATCCTATTCTTAAAAAAATACTTACAAGTACTTTGTAAAGGGCAATTCAAATGTACTCCCAATAATCTAATACCCACTAGAGGGTTAGATGCAGCTCCCTCAACTGTATTTAAACTCCTAAGAAGGGATGGTGCCAACTATTTCTTATTTTGTTTTTTGGTGCTGGGACTAATCCCAGGGCCTTGTGCATGCTAAGCACATGCTCTACCACTGAGCTCCAGCCTCAGGCCAGCTATTGCTTTTGAATGTGCCCCAATCCCCATGGTCCACCATTCTTGATGTTTAGGACATAGAGTTCTCTTCACACAGTAGGCAATTATTGGATGCTGGCCAGCTGATTTTCATTTCTGTGCCTCCCTCTTTGGGAGGCGGGTGAGAAGGGGGGTGAGAATGAATCCTTGCCTGGGATGCTGCTGGTGGGTGGACACCATCTGAGGACCTCAGAGAAGGGAAACAATGGTGCTTTTGAGGAGAGGGGCATCATCTGTGGCTTCCCTATGATTTCCCAGCCTGTTTATAGCCAACACCAACGCCTTACAAGAGCGGAGCTCCAAAGATGCTCCCTAGAATGTCCTCACATCTTAAGTAGGTCAGCAAAAGCTGACTGGCTCTCTCCAACTCTTTAAGGCCAATTAATTTCTTCCCTTTGTCCCTCTGGAGAGCTGCTGAATAGGGCACGTTTAGCAACCATAGCCGCAAGCCTGAGTTCCTCTGGGTTTCTGAGGGGGTGAGAATTCTATTCAGAAGTCAAATATTTACTCTCAGCACAAAAGGCTTTGATGTGTTTTCAGCTCCCAGGACAGAAATGAGAGCACCTCCTCTCAGCCTCTCAACATTTACCAAGGATCCCTCGGTACCCCCAGGACCATATACTTCTCCTAACAAACCCTGCAACTTTTGGAGATACACAGAAACCCTTTTCTCTGAGTAGCTCATCATATAGAGAGAAATAGCCAGGCAGCAAAGCCACTGTTCAGGGGGAAGGGCCTAGGAAGGAGCGGCGGTACCTTCTGACTCCTTTTCCATTTTCTGTTTGATGTTTCTCAGAAGCCACTCAGAGTAAGGCCACTTAAGAAAACTTTAGAAAGGAAAGGAAGAGGGGGGAAAAATGTCCTTGGAGAGGGCCATTCCTCACTGTCCAAGCTTCAAAAAGCTTGTTGTGCACCGAGGGAGCTAGTTAATCTGCCTCTTGTTCAGAAGTTGCCGGCCAGGTCCAGCCCCGCGTCCTCGAAACAAAGCTGCACACAAATTCCTCGTTTCCCAGGCAACGCTTCACAGCTCTACAAATCTGCGGGGAGGGCGGCTGTTTGCCCCGTAGCCTCTCTCCATCACATCGAACTGAACTGGGGAGGCAGCCGCTGCAGCATTGTTTGGGCACAGGCTTACGAATCAAAACCAAAAAATACCTTTGGCCATCGTGGGGAGGGGCCCAAGGAATGGGCAGAAAGGGTCACCCTCACATTCTGAGCTTAGTCAAAGGGGCTGGTGGCGAAAGGCAGGGCCAAAGCTGAGACTCAAGTCCACGGGGAGGAGGGCTTCCCGAAAAGGTTGGGGCATCAGTGTAAAGAAAGGTCTAAGTTTTCTTGGTCGTCAACCTGGAGTCCTTGGTTTAATCTGTGGTAGCTACATGATTTTAGCAAGTTGCTAACCTTTTGGAAGTTTAGGTTTTGTTTGTAAAATGGTTCTTATAATTTCTTTCTAAAGTAGGTGCTGGGGGAATTGGATTACAGTGTCTGAAAGAATCAGGTGAGCAGAAACCACCCCCGCCCTCACACCACACACACACAGGGAGTGAGAGGAAAGACGGTTCCGTGAGATGCTTCCATAGGAAGGCCAGAAGTCTGGGAAACTACCCTCCTCTTACCCTCGGCTGCAGCCCTTACTCAGCTCTAGCTGTCCACGGTGGAAGTCTGCTTGAGAGGCTGTTTTTTTTATTTACTTTACTCCTTTACTTCTGTGTCTCATTCTCCAACACGTGACAACCTGTCACTTGCTCTGCTCCTAGCTGGAGTTCAGACTCCTCTTCCAAGCTCATAGGTTCCCATGGGTGTAGGACTGAGGTCCCTGCTCCTTTGCTGGCTGGTGATGGCTCCTAAAGGTGGCATTGTGCCTGACGATGTGACCCTCACTACCAAGCTGTGTACTTCTGTAAAATCAGCAAGACAGCCTCTCTTTCTCGCTCCCTCTCTCTCTCTCGCTGGTTTGCATTAGTGTGACTTAATCAAGTGACTGACTTGTTACTGTGGTGGGCCTGTTCTGTTGTTGAGAGAGGAAGGAAGAGGGCTGGGAATCAAACCCAAGGCCTTGTGCGTGCTACACACATAAAATGTAAACGCAGTATGGATGGATCTGGGAGGAGTTAAAGGGGGAGCTGGGCGAATATGACCAAGAGACATTGCATGAAATTCTCAAAGAACTGGTAAAAGTATATTTTTAAAAGAATGTGAGTGGGATCAATTTTAAGAATGTGAGTGGGATCAATTTTTCTGAAGGTTTCAAAGAAGGCAGGTGGGGGATGGGCGAGGCCTTAACTACACCCCAAGCTGTTCTCACAGCTGTTGCTCTCTTATCGCCTCTCCCTGGCTTCATTTCTTTCCTTTCTACTCTTTTCCACCCCAAATTCATGTTTTTTAAAAAAACATTTTAAATTACTTATTTATTTATTTGCTTGTTTGTTTGTTTATTCCTATTTTATGTGCACTGGTGTTTTGCCCACATGTATGTCTGTGGGAGGGTGTCATATCCCCTGGAGCTGGAGTTACAGACAGCTGTGAGCTGCCATGTAGGGGCTGGGAATTGAACCTGGGTCCTCTGGAAGAGTAGCCAGTGCTCTCAACCATCTCTCCAGCCCCTCATGTTTATTTCTAATGCAAAGTAGTTTGTCTTTTTACTCCTTAACTATATTCAAGGCCTTACTTAGCCCCCCCCATGTGGAATTTAGATGTATTTATTGCTAAATAAAATTCCTTTCCACGGGGCAATTTTGGTGGCATTTGTGGAAGAGTTGTTTTTTTTTTTTTTTTTTTTCCTACTCTACTTCCAAAGAGCATTTACAGTTTGGTGAAGGAGACAGATATGATTCAAATAATAGCAGGAAGTGAATAAAGAGGAGGAAGGGGAGAGATCTAAATATAAACCACCAGCCATGCAATATTGTCACTAAGAGCAACTAGAAACCTCTGGCTGTGTTCTCACCTTGCCCAGAGCCCAGAGACCAGGAAGAGGCCATTGGATGAGGACGCTGGGAAATCTAAGGCTAGAATTGTTTTTAAAAATAGGTGCATTTTTGAGCACATAGGTGCCTTATCTTCCCTTGACTCTTACATTTACGTTAGCTTGTGACGTTTTTTATAATGAATATACGTAACCTATTTTCATTGTATTCATTCTCATACACTCTTTGTCCCGTTCCCACAACCCCCTCCGCCTTCCCAACCAGCCCCTCTTCTCTCCCTCTGTAGGCCTGGCTGGCCTGGACCTCACTATGCGGCCCAAGCTGGCCTTGAGCTCATGGAAATCCTCCTGCCTCCACCTCCTAGGTGCTGGGATTGCAGGTACACACCCAGCAAACTCTACCTTTTATGGTGTATTTACTGTGGTTGTTTTGCAGGGCCAGGAACTGAGGCCAGCCTGGCACACAGCCTAGCTGAGTGCTGTCACACCAAGCTGCATCTCAAGCCCTTTTCTTTTACTGATTTTGTTTGTTTGTGGTAGCTCAAGTGTCTTGGTCCACCAATCCATAGCACTCTAACTCTGGACAAATTAGTGAGTCCCTCTGCCGCTTGGTGTCCTTCCCTGGGAAGTGAAGACGTGGAGCAAAGGCCTATCTTGCTGCAGGGGGAGTCCACTGTTCTGGGTATGCCCTGCCAGTCCTGGAAGACCTCCAGCACTTGGGAGACAGAACATGCCTTTCCAGTTCCCCATCCTGCTCTCCAGTTTGTTTGCTTTCTCCAGTTCATGACGAGGCTGACTCAGTTAAAACTATTAGCTTCCCCTTCCCCTTGTTCCAGAACACACACTCCAGAGTTTCTGCCGGTGCATAAACACACGGTGGGTGGATGGGGTAGGGCAGCTCTGTTTTGAGCGGCAGGACCTCTGTTGGAGCCATCTGCAAAACTGTGAGGACAGCAGGTCTGGGCTGCTCAGGGTGCAGAGGAGGAGAGTCAGAATCCGCCCGCCCCAGAAAAGCCATTAGATGAACACACCCAGAGGGAGGACCCAAAGCATACATGTGGAAGGATGACAAGGTAAACAAGGACAGAAGACATACACACAGTCCTTTAATTAAAGAGCCTTTATTGATTAGAAGAGAAAGGCACGTAAGCGGACAATTGTAAGCTTCTACAAGTCTGCTTTCCTCAAGACCACCCAAAACAGGATTGCAAAAGTATGAGTTGTTCACTGAGACAGATGAAAGCAAGGCACTGCCTGTGTGTGTTTGTAGTTGCTGTGATCTTCCGCTGAGCCTCTGCCTTTCAGGGTAACAGAAGACTCTGCTGCTTAAGGCCCTCAAGTAGTTCAGTCATTCAGACACTCAGGCTGTCTTCCTCCTTTCTTCCGTCAATCCCAGATCCTCTCTAGGAAGGATTAGAATGAGTAGAATAAGTGTAGGTGGTCTGGCTGGGGTGACATAGCAAGAGGCAGACCGTATTGGTGTCTCCACGTGCTATTCTGAGATCCCCTCGCTGGTCTACAGAGCTACTTTCTGGCTCCTACCATGGCAGTTGATCTGCCCCATCTCCTCAGGCAGCAGAATTCCTATACACAGGGGCACCTGTGCACCCTCTTCGGCCTTCTGCCGGTTCTCTACCTGTTAGCATCTCTGAGTCTTTCACGGGCCTCCACTCTGGGGCACTTGCAAATTCTGTGCAGGGTCAGGACCCTAAGCCTCACTGCCAGAGTGGGGGAAAAAAACAGGGTGTTGAGTATTTAAATCCCTTTTAGCTCCCCCTCTGTCACAGTTTATTTTCCACAGTACTTCAGACTAAAAAGACCAGACATCAGGCTTTCTGTTTCCTAAACATCATATTCCCTTTTTCCCCACTCAGGAAATATTAAACCATCACAAACAAAAGTGACTATTAAGAAATAGTAATAACTGTGATCTGGTCTACAGGCTGCTCTATGACATGTCAGAGGGACAGATAAAAGAAATGATAATGCTCTTTTGTCCTTTACATAGACCAGCTATTAAGCTTTTCAGCTTCTTACTGACTTTAAAATGCAATTTTAAATGTAAGAGCTAAAAGCTGACTTTCCCTTCTGCTCTGCATGTCTGCTAGAACAATAGCTTCCCAGAAGCAGACAGGTGCCTTGGGTTGTTTACACAAAAGTCACAGACACAGAGATAGAAAAGGAGAAAAAAAAACTTACTGATTTCAGAACGTTATCTGGAGTTCCGCCAGCATGCCCTCCTTGGCTCAGATTTTCAATCGTAGAAAATTGGCCAAGCTGGGCTTGGTCGGTTTGTAAAATAGCGTAGGTAGAGACAGTTGCTATATTTACAAAACTAAGACCAGGGATAAAAGTGACGGATGGGGAGTTGTGAAGCTGGGTGTGGCAATACACGCCTGAAATCCTAACGGTTGGGAGATGGAGGGAGAAGAATCAGGAGTTCAAGGCTAAAATGAGACCTTCTCTCCAAAAAAATAAATAAAATAAGAATGGGAGGAAGTTGAGAACTTTGGTCTTACCAAGATAAAACGATCCCTGCGTGAATGAAAAAAGGAAGAAAAGGCAGCTCTCAAAATTACGGAGGCTATGGGGACTATTGAGACAGCTCCGTGAGCAGAGGTACCCGTCACCAAACCTGATGACCATGTGGTAAAAGGAGAGAATCAGCTCCCCCAAGCTGTCTTATACACACACAAATAAACACATTGTAACTTTTGCTTTGTTTTGTTTTTCCAGACAGGGTTTCTCTGTGTAGCCCTGGCTGTCCTGGAACTCATTCTGTAGAACAGACTGGCCTTGAACTCACAGAGATCCAACTGCCTCTGCCTCCTGAGTACCGGGACTAAAGGCTAGGGCCACCACTGCCTGGAGACAAATTATAATTTTTTTAAATGTAAAAGGTTATGGGAGAAGTGAGGTCCCACCTCTGCCTAAAGAGTTAGACAGTTAATGTGGCCGAGGGGAGAAAGAGTCGTTTTCTTTAGCGGTGCAACCACTGGGAGGTTACCCATGTTCCAGTAAGAAACCCTCCACCTATATTCATGCAAGCACCCCTAGTTTAACTTATTGGGTCCCCAGAACAGAACAAAACAGGGCAAAAAAAATAAATGAATAAAAGAGTAACGTATTTAATTTATTTTCCAGCCCCTCCCAGCTTCAGAGAGCTGTTTCTTTTGTCTTCAATAAGCTTTGCTTCCTTGCTTGCCCATCCATGACTCCCCCCTCAATAAAAAATATGAAATTAGCAAGAGGCCTTATTGGGAAGGTGTTCCCAACAGAACTAGGGAGAAATAAGAGAGGGTAATGTGAGGTGGCAAGTGAACAAAATATACTATATATGTGTTTGAAATAGTCAAAGAATCTTTAAATTTTTAATTTGTTTTTTTTTTTTTTTTTTTTTTTTTTTTGGTTTTTCGAGACAGGGTTTCTCTGTGTAGCTTTGCGCCTTTCCTGGAACTCACTTGGTAGTCCAGGCTGGCCTCGAACTCACAGAGATCTGCCTGGCTCTGCCTCCCGAGTGCTGGGATTAAAGGCGTGTGCCACCACTGCTCGGCTAATTTGTTTTTTAAAAGGGAGAGGGTTGATAAAACTGGGCATAGTGCTGCCCACCCGGGATTCCAGCAGTGGAAACAGGCAGCAGGAAGACTAGGAGCCCAAGGCCATCCTCAGGTCTATAGAAAGTTGGAAGCCAACCTTGGATACCGAAGACCCTGTCTCAAAAACAAAGACAAACAAAAATGTGGGAAGGGCCTTCCAGTGCCACCTGGGAATTTCTAGTTATGGAACAGTTTGGGAGTTCCATAAAAACTTAGCAATCGGTGTGGTGGGCATGGTGTCATCTATATAGCTTATCCATGATGGGCAAATCCTCATAGACAGAAAGTAGACCGGAGAGGAGTATAGTGAGTGACAGCTAAGAGTATGAGTCTTATTTGGAGAGAGGTAACTGGAACTGGGTATTTATGAATAGTCTCTGAACCTGGTGAAAATACTAAAGCCACTGAACTGCACATACTAAAGGTGAATTTCCTGATATTTGAATTTTATATATATATATATGTGTGTGTGTGTGTGTGTGTGTGTGTGTGTGTGTGTGTGTGTGTGTGTGTGTGTGTGTTTTGAGACAGGGTTTCTCTGCTTGCACCTTTCCTGGATCTTGCTCTGTAGACCAGGCTGGCCTTGAACTCACAGAGATCCACCTGCCTCTGCCTCCTGAGTGCTGGGATTAAAGGCGTGCACCACCACCGCCTGGCATGAATTATATCTTAATTTAAACATTTTAAACATAAAAAGGCGAAAAAGCAAGACTGGGTTTGGTGGCACTCAAAGTTTAAGTCTATCAGCATAGACTAGTTTTGGCTTTAAGATTAAATACATTCACCTATAACTAAGAAAAATAAATGAAATGTCTTTTTTTTTTTTTTTTTGGTGTTTTGTTTTGTTTCATTGGTTGATTTGGGTTTTTGTTTCATTCTGTTTCGTTTTGTCTTTTTTGAGATGGGGTCTCACAGTGTAGCCCAGCCCAGTCCGGAACTCATGATGTAGCCCAAACTCACCCCAAACGCACAGCAGTCATCCAAACGCTCGGCCCTCCCAGTGCTGGGATCACAAGCATGCATCACTATACCTGCTTTGGTTTTTTGAAACAGGTTGGTCTTGAACTCACAATCTTCCTGCCTCTGCCTCCTTAGTGCTGGGGTTACAGGCAGACCCTACCACGCTCAGCCTTAAATGCTTTCTCCCTAACAAAGCACTTGCTGAACATTCTGTACCATAATCTTCACCAGTCTTCCCAACCATTCCTCCAATAGCCATTTTACAGAGGTAAAATCAAGGGTTCAAAGATACTGAGTCTGTCCCATTACCACAGAGTAACCAAGCGTTTGATGAGAAGGCACGGCCATGAGGGAGTGAATGTACAGACGAGAAACAGGAGGGCACACTAGGCTGTTACACTGGGAGCAGAACCCCGGGGTGCTGGATTGTGGAGCATTACCCTCCTCTGTGCTCTAACATGTTCCGGAACACTGGCTGAACGTAGGGGAATGACAGCGTGACCTCTGGAAAGACGCTCCTCAACATCTCTCTGAACCTGTGATAGGAGAAAATCCCAACTGGAACACTGTGGAAGTAACAGAATTCAAGCCCTTTTCGATTTCTTCCCTTTGGGTAAAACAGGTTTTCCACTTCTTCAGCAATTCTTTCAGGTCTCTCATTTCCCGAGATATCCAAAAGCGCACCCCCCCTTCCCCCTGCCCCCACACCGCGACCTTTTCTCCCTTATTAGAAGTCTGTCCTGACGTGGAAGGAGGAGTGTGAGGTGGAGCCTTGTAGGTTGGGACAGTGAGCCTGGATCTGCACGGCCTTGGGAGTGGGCCTTATTGCAGACGAGCCAAGAACCGCTGGACCACCAGAGCCCAGTATGATGGAGTATGCAGTGGAGATTATCATGCCGTGGAGATACCCCTGTCCAAACTAAGGGGGCGAAGGGCTTGCAAACTAGAAAATGCTAGATCTGAGCGAAGCGAGAGGAGAGAACAAGGCCGGCAACACACAGAGCTCTGTGTATTCAGAGGGAAGTTGGCAGGGTTGTGCCCGGGCAGAGAAACTCCGAGTGGTACAAAGGGACGTGCCCGGAGTGGAGAAATCATGCTAATTGTCTGCACCAGAGCTGGAGAACGCCACCCAAAATGAAGAGAGAAAGAGGAGCCTTGTCCAGAGCCTCCAGGGCCCTGCGCCTCGCTCCTTTTGTCTACCTGCTTCTCATCCAGCCAGGTAGGAGACCAGAGGGGTCAAGAGAAAAGAACTTGGGGCTTTTGACAAAGAGGGAGGGGGAGAGCAGAGCCTGAATACCTTCAGGGCTGGAGGAGGGGAGAGAGCTCAGTGGCCGTGGGAAGCATCTCAGTGAATTAAGGAATCAGTGTTGAATATATCTCTTCATTCCCCGTGCTTCCTGCCCGGTCCCTGGCTCCTGGCTCCCTCCCTCAAAGACTGCATGACTTTGGAGCGCCCACGGCATTCAGTACATTAGATGGAAGGCATCGTGCCACTTTTTATGGGATGACATGTTGGCGTGGGCTTGTCCAGCATTCTTTTTAAGGGATTATGTGAACTCTTGGTGAGGGGAGGAGGGGAAATCTTGGGTTTGAGCCTCCCAAACCTCCACCCTGGCTTCTCTGAGTGTCAAACAGCTTGAGAGATAAAAGAAGCTTTGTAGCTAATGAGACTCCCAGTTTAGGATAGTAATCCATCCTATTCATAATTCATTCCAAGTCATAGACACCTACCTCTTGTGATGCCCCCTATCAACTCTATGGAAAACTGATCTTATTTTAAATACTGTAGATGTGTTTATGTGTACATATACACAATTACAGGGAGCCCAGAAATGCACATTTCAGTGTGGCAAGCAGATACATAGATCATTTTAACAAAAAGCAGGAATCAGCCTCCATCCAGGAAGTTGTTGCTGGTGGGGCAGGATGCGGGTGGGCGAGAACCAGGGAATGTTTCCTTGTAGAAAGAACGTTTGCACTGAGTCTTAGAGGATGAGAAAAATAGGTAGGGGCATGAGTGAGATTATTGCTGGGAAGTGGACAGAGGTCAGGAGCTTGAAATAGCCTCCTGTGTTTAGGCGGAGCCCAGAAGTTCAGCATTGCTGAGAGAAAAGTATGAACTGAATTCAGCAGAAGCCTTATAAACCTTTCTCAGAGGATGGGAGATAGTCTATATAAGTAGTAGGAGGGGAAAATTGAGTGATCTTTAGGATCAGATAGACTTCGGATCTCTTAATCTGCCATGACGCATTGAAGGGACAACAAGGACATAGAATAGAATGGAAACCTATTTAATTCTTCTGAGTTGATGAAACAAAATGACACAGAGTAGGTGGGTTAGGTAGCAGAAAGTCGTTGTCTTGCGGTTCTGAAAGGCAGACAGACGCTAGAGATCAAGGTATTGATGGTGCCACACTTCCCTCTGAAAGCACCAAGGACAGATCTGTCCCAGGCCTCCTTGGCTTGTGGCAGCAAAATTCCAGCCTTCAGGTGGCGTTTTCCTGTTTGCGTGTCTGTGTTCAAATGTCCCCATTTTACAAGGACGTGTGCGGAAGTGGATCCACCCTGCTCCAGTATGACCTCATCTTAACTCCTTGGCTCCGCAAAAACCCCATTGCCAAAAGAAGTTCAACTGTGAGATGTGGGGCTTGGGGATGAGGGTTAAGAGGACTTCAGTATGTGAGTTTGAGAAGTACTTCAGCCCACAGCAAAGCTATTTTCTAATTATGAATTATGTTAATAAGATATTAGTTATGAACCAGGCATGGTGGTGCATGCCTATAATCTCAGCACTTGAGAGATAGAAGAAGGAGGAACAGGAGTTATCTTTGGCTACATAGTGAGTTCAAGTACAGCCTGGGCTACTTGAGATCCCTGTCACAAACAAACAAATATTAGTTATAACCTATGAGAGCTAAATGTTGAGCTATTGTACTGCTATTACAACAAGAAATAAATGTGCAGATTCTGTAATAAGTCTCTGCCATCTTTGCTGTATTATTAGGAAAACATCAGCTTCTGTAGTAGATACATTTCAGATTTTAAGTGCTTGGCATTACATGTCAGTGTAATGAAGCGGTAGACTAGGCCTGGGAGAGGAAGGACAATATTGCATAGAGTTCTCAAGGAACACGCTAAGCTGATGGGACTCTGTCGACTTCAATGTGTGAATAACTATGGGGTTTGTCTCTATTTAGTCCAAGTAGAGCATTTATTTGTTTGTTTGAGACAGGGTCTTCTTACCCTGTAGCCCTGGCTGGCCTGGAACTTGCTATGTAAACCAGACTGGCCTCAAACTCACAGAGAGCTATCGTCTCTGCCTCCTGAGAGAAGAAATTAAAGGCCTTGGCCATCATGCCTGGCCAAAGAGAAAATTAAAAAACAAAAAACAGCCAGGCGGTGGTGGCGCACGCCTTTAATCCCAGCACTCGGGAGGCAGAGCCAGGCGGATCTCTGTGAGTTCGAGGCCAGCCTGGGCTACCAAGTGAGTCCCAGGAAAGGCGCAAAGCTACACAGAGAAACCCTGTCTCGAAAAACCAAAAAAAAAAAAAAAAACAAAAAAAACAAAAAAAAACAAAAAAAACAAAAGAACTTAACAAAAACAATGAAGAGACATATAAGGGAGGGTTTTCCAAAACTAGTTTCTGAGTGGTATGTATCACCTCCCCCCTAGTTCTATTGGCTAGAACTTGTCACGTGGCCATGCCTGACCTCAATGGAAGCTGGGAAATAGAGGATTAAGATTGGCATGGAGAGGACTGGAGAGGCGGCTCAGTTAAGAGTGCCGGCTGCTCTTGTAGAGAACTTAAAGTCCCAGCACCCACAGGGTGGCTCCCAACCACCTGCAGTTCCAGTTTCAGGGGATACAATGGCTTCTTTGGACGTCTGCAGCCACTGCACACATGTTATACATATATGTGCATGCAGGCAAAACACTCATACACATAACATAAAATCCAGGCTCTGGTATTGACGAATCAGGCTTCCTCTGACACAGCATGCCCCTTCTTTGTTTTCAAATTTATTTGCTTATTTTGTGGGAGTTGGGGCACATAACTATAGAGGTCAGAAGACAAGTCCCAGGAGTCAATCCTCTCTTTCCATTTTGTGGGTCTCAGGTATCAGGTTTGGCAACAAGTACCCTTACCCACTAAACAATCTAGCTGGCCCTGAATCAGGCCAAATTCAGCCTTCTTAAATTCACCATAGCACAATTCACAGAATATTCAAATAAGACTTATCCAGAGGTTAAGGTGTTGACAGAGATAAACATTAAAAGACATAACTCCAAACTTTGGAGGTTTTTGTTCTCTGGACTTTTCCACTTCTCTGCCTGGTTTCTGTGCTGAATTTGGAGGAGCAGGTGGATATTAGAACAGTCTGATACTGTAGTCCATGTCAGCCTCCTGAAACCTGGGATTAGAGGTATGAGCCGTCACACCCAATATGTTTATAGCTTTAATTCACTATCACATTGCAGTGGTGATCCTTTTCGGTTTAAAAAATAGTGTAGTTGAAAAATCTCATAGAGGAAAATGCAGTTAGTATAAGGTTATAGTCTGATATGCCCTTAACAAGTGAACAAGCCCATATAATCATCCCTTAGATAAAGAGACAGATATGGCTAGGTTGGTGGCATACACCTTTAATCTCAGCACTTGAGATGCAGAGGCAGGAGAATCTCTGTGAGTTTGAGGCCAGCCTAGTCTACATAGCAAGTTCCAGGACAGCCAGAGCTACATAGTGAAACCTTGTCTCAAAAAAAGAAAAGAAAAAGAAAAAAAGGAAAGAAAGAAAGAAAGAAGTCATGGTATTTCCCCAGAATCACCCAAGTATTTCAGCTGCTGTTAGCCACTGAGGCAGACCCCCTTACTAACGTACCTTCAAAGAGCCTTCACTTTCAGCATAAACTTTATGACACAAGCTGATGCCCAGAGGCCTTCCTGTCATCACTTTAATCTTCTAAACATATACTCCATATCATATTGAGCATGCCCAGGGGTATACTCCTTAAGTGATAAAGCTTGGGGTTGGGCCAACCTCTATATGAGTACTCCTCCTTTGTTCAAGGAGGGCATTGCTTTGGAAATAAATCCTATGTTTTGCTTCCCTGTTTCAGGTGATAAATCTTTCTCCACTCCACTTTTACGTCTTGGCTCTGTTTATTTTGGCTTTGCACTCACCAAGATATGAACCCAAGTAGCTTGTGTTGCCTGTTACTAGAGAAGCCAGTGAGCGGAGGCAGGAAGTGAATCTTGAAACGACGCTTTATTCAGAGAGCCAGCAATCTAGGAGGCCAGAGTATTATCATTCTCAAATCTGCCTTACTCAGACCATCGCCAACTAGCCCATTTTATAGGGAACAAGAGCAAAGGCAATTAATCATTCCAAACTTTAGTCTGGTCCCTCCGGTCAGGTGGTCAAGCCTTATCTTTGTAATTCACGGTGTTGGTACTTTTCTTCTTATTTCTTCCTGCACTTTTTCCTTATCTTCATTCTCTCTCTCTCTCTCTCTCTCTCTCTCTCTCTCTCTCTCTCTCTCTCTCTCTCTCTCTGTAGTGGGGGATTCACAAAGGCCTAAGGCCACTGAGTCTCACATTCCTCCCGTATGACTATCCGAGTTAGAGAGTGTACATGCAGAATCCTATGGACAATATAGACACTGCAAGTCTATTATAATGTAGAAAGTGCCCTTACTTGTCCCTTATCACACAGTCACTTGGCTCCACTGCTTCTGGGCCTGTGCTTGATGTGATAGAACATCACAGTGTTAGGGAACATGTGAGAGAGGCAAACAGAAGGTAGAGACAGACAGAAAGGGGCCTGGCCAGACATGCCCCCAGCCACTTACTCCCCCAGCCAGGCCCTACCTTTTAATAGCTCTCTTAGAACCAACCATTGATGAATGAACCCATTGAAGTTAGAACCTTCATGAGGCAATCATCTCCCAGTCTTCCTATCCTAATTATTTTGAAATGGAATCAAATTATAGTTTAAACTTACATTCCATGATAATCAAGTTGAGCTTTTCCTGTATCTTTATCAGCCAATTGGATATATTTTTTATGAAGTACCTGTTCCAACTTCTTTTTTAAAAAGATTTGCTTTTTTTTCAAGTGTGTGTGTGTGTGTGTGTGTGTGTGTGTGTGTGTGTGTGTGTGTGTGTTTTGAGTATTACATGATGGAGTTACAGGTGGTTATGAGTCACCCAATATAGGT